ACAAGGTGAAGGCAGGGGAGGGTCTGTGTCCGCATTTGGGGAGGACACACACAAGCAGACAAGCAGACGAGCTGTTGAAGATAAGAACCTCACTTACTCCCCTTGTAAGTGACTGCCATCGCCTGGCTCCCAAAAGCCTGCCTCTGCCTACTCTTTACACCTTTCCAAGCACAGCCGACAACAGCTGCTGCATAGACAGAGGACACACAGGCTCCTGGTTTCCACAGAACTCTCCAGACACTCCTTGGCTAGGTGTGAGGAGTGAATATTTTCTCACTCCTGTCCCGGCCTTCCTGGAACCCATAGAGAAACTGCAGAGGCTGGGAGCTGTCCAGCGTGGTGCATTTGAGTCATCCAAAATTATTCATTCTATTTTCCCCAGCTTCTCTTAACCTGTGCTGATGAGATGCAGAAATATAATAAAACAAAACAAAACCAACCAAATCTATCACCTTTGTGATAATCTATTCATGATGAAGGCTCTCTGCTGTCTTCTAAGCAGAATGATAGTCATAACAACACCCTGTACAAAGTACTTTTCGAGGAAACCCAATGTGGGTAAAATGAATCTGTAGCAGTTGATTCTCTATGTGCAGATCTACGTATAAACCCTTACGGAACTCTGAGTTGAAAAGCTACGGCAGCAAAAGACAATAGCAGACCAATGAATGCTGGGTCCTACTCAAGGTAGGAGATAGGGTTATTAATGCATTTTGATGCTCGGGGATGGGGCTGCAAAAAGGAAAAAAAAAAAAGGCTCCCCTGAAAAACTCAACAAAGACATGGAGTTGAAAACTACACTTCTGCAACTTCTATTAGAGAAACAGCACTTTAACCCACTTCACTAGACCTTTGAGCAAAAGTCAAAATACAGATTGTTACAACCCAACAAGGCTGGGCTTCTTGAGGCTAAAACAATGTCATGTATGATGACTTTTGTCCTACTCATGGTGCCAAGCATTTGGTAAATGCTCAAACTTTACACACACACACACACACACACACACTCTCTCTCTCTCTCTCTCTCTCTCTCTCCTGGTCACTCACATTGAAATCTGCTCAGATATTACTGGTTACTGGAGAAACCTGAGCCATTCCAGAATTAGACTGCAGTGAAGTCCTCTTTAACCCCAGTGAAGCAGCTATGGGGGAAATGTTTTTCTAAACATGTTCTATTAAAAATATAACAAGGGGTCAGAACTCATAGAATGGTAAGTTGCAAAGAGCCAAACCAAACCAAAACAAACTACCCTCTCTGCTCGGTCCTTTTTGGAGCCCTTTCTCCACTCCTTTCTGATGTGGCGGGCAGGAGAACAATGAAAGGAAGAGCTCAGTGTTTTCTCAATGCTTGTTAAGACAAAAGCTCATTAGAAGTGGTTTTCTTGGAGGAGCGCTAATGTGCCTCAGCCTCCTCACTGGCAGGTACTCATTTCTTTCAAGTGAGTCGTGAGAGGAGGGGGTTCATTTAGTGGAGGGGATCTGTGTCCACCGCGGGGAA